TATGCTGCTTTGGTTTACCCGCCATTATTGTATCTGATAACGACATACAATTTGCGAGCTCGTCCGTTGTTGAATTTTGCAGGCACCCAAAATATGTAATTGGTTCATAGCAATGGAACATCCACAAGTTAATGGTCAGGAAGAAGCAACAAATAAAACAATTCTCTCAAGTATGAAGAGAAGCTGAATGAAGACAAGGGATTGTGGGCCGAATATCTTCATGAAATAATGTGGTTATACCATACCACCCTGCATTCAACCACCAACGAAACTCCTTTTTGATTGGTTTATGGAGTTGATGCAATGATATCAATCGAAGTCAATTCCCTGATGTGGCGTCGAACCAATTTTAATGAAGAACTTAATCATGAAGGTTTGGAAAGTGCATCCTATTTATTGGAGGAAGTTAGAGCAATGGCCCACATTAAAGAGATAATTGCGAAACAAAGAATAAAATGACGATTTAATTCAACAGTTCGACCGAGAAGTTTCCAATAAGCTGACTTAGTCTTGAAAAGGATCACAGATACAAAGAAAAAAGGAAAGCTTACTCCTAACTGGGAAGGACCCTACATAATTATGGAAATACTAAACAACAAAGCCTACAAGCTAGACAATTTGGACAAGCTCAAGCTGCCTAGGGCTTGGAGTGTAGCAATTCTAAAGATTTATTATAGTTGAAACTTGTAAATGATTTGTAATAATAAATAAGAACTGGGGGTAGCACTCTTTTCCCTTGCAATGGCAAGGGTTTTTAATGAGGCTCCTCTAATTTGTTTTATGTGCATGTTATTCCATATTTCAGGTGGAGGGAGCAGGATGCACCGAGTACTTTACCGAATATGAGTTAAGTCTCATCCAGTTGCACTCTCCGGCCTCCGGATCGAGTTGACGCTCCTCCTATGAGAATCGAGTAATTTACCATATCTGAGTTAATTTTCAGTCGGCTGCACTCTCCGGCCTCTGGATCAAGTTGACACTCCTCCTCTGGGAGTTAAGTACTTTTTCGAATCTAAGTTAAGTCTTAGCCGACTACACTCTCCTGCCTCCGGATCAAGTTGACACTCCTCCTCCGGGTGTCAAGTACTTTACCAGATTTGAGTTAAGTCTCAGTCGGCTGCACTCTTTGGCCTTCAAATCGAGTTAATACTCCTCCTCCAAGAGTTGAGTAATTTACCGAATCTGAGTTAAGACTCATCCGGCTGTACTCTCCGACCTCTAGATCAAGTTTTCATTCATCATATTATGAGTCCAATAAATCGGGTTGTCGATTAAGTAACACGTGAGCCAAATAAAAGTGAACTCATTTACCATAACACTTTGATAAGAAAAAATTCGCGAAATAGTTTGATCGGGGTGGATTTTACTCAAAGTGTTTCACCCAGTTGCACAGGCTTTGCGCTTGAGGATCTCATAGGAATCCCGGTTAAAAGAAGTGAAATTCTAGCACTTGAAACACAAAGTTCAAGACTGATGTCTTAACACAGAAACACGATGTCAGGACATATGTTATGACATCCGTTGACAGAAAACCACAGATTGTGCAGAAAAATAAATTGCATAAAATTAAACAACACAATCAATCGTTAACCCAGTTCGGTGCAATATCACCTACTCTGGGGGATACCAAGCCAAAAAGGAAATTCACTATGATACTATTAATTTGAAACCTAAATAGTCCCAGTTTACAACTTATCACTATCTTGTGCAACTTCTACCTAGGAACCTTCTAGACATGAGAACCCCCTCTCACTTTCAATTACCTCAGTGATACCTACAACCACAAACCTTGTGACTAGACTTTAGAACCATATAGAAGATTACACTTCAAATAAATAATACTTAGTTTTGCTTAAAAGCTTCAACCAATAACAATACTTAACTCTTTGCTTAAAAGCTCACGAGTGAGAATAATAATTTGATAAAATCAAATAACAATCAGTCAAACTCAATGCATCAAAAGATACATAATTTACATACAAAGAACACAACACTAAAACCTTAAAAGACTCTCAAAACTCGAATCTTATGTTGCATAGACGATTTCTTCAATGTGAATGCTTGCTATTTTATGTCGTAGCAAGTCGTTATTTATAGACTCTTGTAGAATGGGCTTGGACTCTTCAAATTAAATCCAATCTTCACTTTTTAAAGCAGCTGCAAGATCTTCATTTAAAAATAGGAACAAAACTTTTATAGTTTCCTAAAAAGTCTCCAAGATCCTTTTTAATGAAACAAATCAAATTTGCACTTGTTCCTAAAATATCATTGATTTGCTGCACCAGTATGAGTACTAGAATATTTCAGAATCTCATATTTTTCAATCAAATCTTCAAGGAAATAAAACTGGTATGACTGCTGCATAACAGGCCAAGATGTCAAGACATCTGGCTCAACATTTGTCTGATACATATGACAGCAGAACATGTCAAGACAGTTGGTTAAGATGTTGTGACATCTTATTCAACATCAGTCCAGAACTATGTTTTAGAAAAATTTAAGCCAAACCTAAAACCATGGATTTAACAATCTCTCTTTTGGAAAATTTTGGGTAAAACAACCAAAGCATAATAACCATGGAGAGAGGAATAAAACCACAACACAAGCTACATGCAATCATGTAAACTTTGTAAAAACTACAATAGAAAAATACATCATAAAATGCATGCAGTTGCAAATCACCATCTTCAAAACACCAAAAGACATATGTCCAGACATGTGGTCTGACATCACATATAGGTCCAAACTCTCCTTGTCACACATGATGAATACTTTCCCTCAAAGGGAAAACCCAACATACTAGAAAATCCAAAACACAAAATATGAACTACCCAAGTTCACTCATCAGAGGCAGCATCAACATAAGATAAAACAGCCTCACAGCAGGATTTTCACACAGCTCCATCAGGCAGGATGTTGGAACATCTGGTAAGACATGCTCCTACATCAGCAGTAGCAACAACACCAACAAGCATGTGGTAGAACATCCTCCCACATCAGCAGTAGTAGTAGCATCACCATAATTACTACTCTCTCCTTAGCAGTAACACAGTCCTATCAGCATGCTAATAAACATGTCAAGTCATGTTTCATAACATTAGGATACACAGAACACACTAACACTTTACTCCCCCTTTTTAGCCAAAAATTGACAAAAAATAGAGTAAATGTAAACAAAAGGGAAGCATACACATTGCACACAAGCACAAAACACAGATGGAATCACAATTTGGAAACATACAATAGCTGATGGAAACACACATATTTCAATAACTTCAGGTGGCCATCCACCTCTTACCCATGTCAAAGACACTGCTGCACTCCTTGGTGTTATTACCAGCCCTTATATCTTGGAGAAAACCTGTGTCCCATCTAATAACAACTTACTTATGCTTTCTAAGCATCCGAACATAGAGGAAAGATGCAGTATCAGTTGCACTCCTCCATATTTGTAATTGTTATAACTCTTCAATAGTGCAAGTTCCAATCCCACTACTTATGTTCTCAGTCTGATTTTTAAACATAACAGTAAGTTATTCCTTGTTGTCCATATGCTCTAGAGTAATAACCTTTCCTTCAACAAGATTCTTGATAAGTTGATTATGACTATCAAGGTTCTTATTCCACCCATGTTGAATGAGATATCTGATATCATTCAGATCTTTATAGAGTAATGTCATGACATCATGTTTGACATTATGATCCTTCAACATCTGGCCAATCCATGCCAATTGAGAACAACCTATCTTTGTTCCACCATACTCAAAAATAATGGTATTTTTAGAGGCACAAATTTGCTTCTTATTGAAACAAGAAATCATATTGTTTCTTATATACAAATACCTACTGATCCACTTTGACCCTAATGATTCAGAGAATTTTGCATTCTCAAACTCCTTATCATGTTCACTTCTGACCTTGACAATCACACTATTCTTCTCCTCTTGAATGCTTTGACACGGATCTTTGAAGACTTCAAAAGCATCTGATTTTTCTCTAAGAAAATTCATCCAAATATACCTAGACAAATCATCTATAACCACATAGACATACCTCTTTCCACCCAAGCTTTCTATTTGCATTGGTCTCATTAAGTCCATATGAAGAAGTTCCAACACTTTGGTAGTAGTCTAATGTGGCAATATTGGGTGTGACATCATAGTTTGCATTCTAGTTTCACACTCATCACAGACTTGCATTTCTTCAATTTTGAGCTTCGCCATTCTCTTGATAGCTCATTCAGATAAAATCTCCATCATTCATTTTATATTAAGGTGTCCAAGTTTCTGGTGTCATAGCTTTACATCATTCTCATTGGCGATTGAACATGTGGAAGAGTAAGCAATTATTTAAGATTTCTATAAATAACAGTTGTATTTAGACCTTATTCCCTTCATCATTACAACATCTTTCTCATCTTTGACCAGACATTTAATTTAAGAAATTGACTAATAGTCCTTGGTCACACAATTGACTAATGCTAATAAGATTAGCAGTTATCCTTTCACAAGAAGAAACGAGGTTTTAAATAAAGCCTATTAAAGAACTAAAAGAGTACTTGAAGGGATGTCATGATGATGATACCTTTCGCATAAAAAGTCATCATTATGAAGTAAAGTAAAAAGACTCAATGAGACTCGCGCCTATTACGGCGTTTGGAAATCAAGTGATACACACGTTAACCTCTATCTAGCCGTTGGATTATCACATGACCGACTACCCAAGTCGCCTGAAGAATTTTAATAGTCCTCTTTACCAAACACTTTGATCTATTAGATCTTAGAGAGGACTTATATACATGTTAAAAATCCTTGAGCGGACAAGTTGTTAGACAAATTCCTCAATACAAAATTTACAATATCTTTATTCTACACTTTCACAAAACAATTCTATCAAAATCTTCACTTTAGAAAAATCTATAAGTATATTCTTAAAAAATACAATAATTTTTTTAAAGTTCCAAAAACATTTTTCTAATCTGTGTTCAAAACATTCTCAGCATGAAGCATCTTCACCCTTCTCCTCCTCCTTGTGTAACATGGTCTTCATCCATTTCCTCCACAGCACCCATAACCTGTTCGACGAAATTCCCAACCGAAAACCATCAGAATTCCTCAAAGCCACTTCCATCTTTTCGTGTCCAATCGTTGAAGCGGTCTTCCAAGCCTTTATCTCAAGGACTTCAGAAGGATCCTAAAAAGGATTTGTCACGCATTCTTCGAACTGAAGCTGCTATCAAAGGTGTAGAAAACAAAGCCAAGTCATGGAAGCATAAGCAACTCTGGCCTAAGGCTGTTCTTGAAGCATTGGATGATGCCATTAAAGGGTGTCAGTGGCAGAATGCTCTAATGGTTGGTCCTAGTTTCAAATTTTTGTTTTTGACGTGACCCTTTAACATTAATGGGTGGGTGAACTTTGTGTCATGTGTATTTATTCATTGATTACATGTTTTGACATCAATGTTAAACTGGTTTACCTTGACAATAATGTCCCCTTTTCTCTTTAAGTTTTTGATTGAGGGAAATACAATGATTCATGGAGGTATGAAACTTCTTAGAAATGATTGAATTAATTGAGTTTTTTTTTTTTGTTTTTGAATTGGTGGTTATGATCTTGATTGACTCTTAGATCTATATATAGTTTGAACGTGTTAGGAAATCTCGAATTTGAGAGTAATTATAGACTTCTAACTTGAATGCTGTTGATTTTTTAAACCTAAGCAGTTCCTAATTCTACTCTATTCCTTACTTCACTCATTCACCTACTGCTACTTGCATTGTTCATGCAAACATAAGCATATTTTGCAAAACTAGTTACACTTTGGGACATATTATATACTTTGTGATGTTAGTAGACATGATTGGATTTGTTTTAGGCCGCGAAACATAACTGGAATTGATTAAAGCTATTAACTTTCAGCTTTATCAATAAAATGGTCAATTTCCTGTTGCAGATTTTTGAACTTCTTCGAAATCAATACTGGTATGAACCGAGAAGCCAAACATATACAAAGTTGTTGATGATGCTTAGCAAGTGCAAACAGCCTAAAGAGGCCAGTCAGCTCTTTGAGACCATGTTGTTTGAAGGGCTTAAACCTACTGTTGATGTCTTCACCGCACTCGTAAGGGCTTACGGTCAAAGTGGTCTCTTTCGTCACGCGTTTTCTATTGTTGAAGATATGAAATCAGTTGCTGATTGCAAACCAGATGTTTATACATATTCTGTTCTTATAAGTTGCTGTGCAAAATTTAATCGATTTGATTTAATTGAACGAGTTCTTGCGGATATGTCATATTTGGGCATTGAATGCAACAATGTGACGTATAATTCAATAATCGACGGATATGGTAAGGCTGGCATGTTTGAGAAGATGGAGAATTCATTGACCGATATGATTGAAAACGAAAACTGTCAACCAGATATTTTCACGCTGAATTCTTTGATAGGATCATATGGAAATGGTGGGAAAATTGATCAGATGGAGAAGTGGTACGATGAGTTTCAACTAATGGGCATAAAGCCTGACATAAAGACATTCAACATGATGATAAAGTCGTATGGCAAAGCAGGCATTTACGATAAGATGAAGACCGTGATGGATTTCATGGAGAGGAGGTTTTTCACTCCGACGATTGTAACATATAATACTGTCGTTGAAGTTTACGGAAAAGCCGGAGAAATTGAGAAGATGGATAAACACTTTAAGAAAATGAAGCATGTAGGAATGAAACCTAATTCTGTAACGTATTGCTCGCTTGTCAGTGCATATAGCAAAGCCGGGCTTATTGAGAAAGTTGACTCAATCTTGAGGCATGTAGAAAATTCTGATGTTGTTTTGGACACTCCCTTCTTTAATTGCATAATTAGTGCTTATGGTCAAGCTGGCGACTTAAAAAAGATGGGCGAGTTATTCTTGGCAATGAGAGAAAGAAAATGCAAGCCTAATAGCACCACCTATACGTGCATGATCCAGGCTTACAACACCCAAGGCATGACTGAAGATGCTAAAAAGATGGAGGACATGATGATTACTTCCAAAGATAGCTTAGGTATGTTGCAATTTCAAAAACTTGCTCTTTGGTGTGATTTTTATGTTCTGGTTTTATTCTGCTTGATAGAAAAACGCGTTGTCTAGTGAACATTTGTTGGCATGTAATGTATGGACTATGCATCTGTCTGTGCAGGACGAGTAAGATTGCTCTAAAATAGATATACTAAGTTGGTATTCTCGATGATTTTGGCTGAGTCTTGAGTCTTGATATAGTTAACCTATTTTCATGAATGTTTTTTATATCACTGCATACTTACCCTCTGTACTAACTGTCTGATTAATAGATACTAAGTTGATTGGATGCTAGCATGGCCAGTTCTGATAGCAGACGACACATCTATTCATCGATTTCCACGGTGATCCTAACTTGGAGAGATTTGGGAACTTTAGTAGGTAAACATCGATTCTTGAATGCATTACTATGTTTGGATTGGCGGTGAGTTCAGAAGAATCAGTGTACTGTGATTATATCAAAAGCTAAACTTTAGAGTTTCAACAAAACTTTGGTATCACCACGATTTCAAACATGCTCTAGGTTACTAGAAGTTGAGTTTATTTATCACAATCCGAAAAGTAGCATCGACCAAACTCAAGATTGATGAACCATTATCCTATCGAACTATCATGCAAGAGATTCACTCAACCAATTGGTGATCCGTTCTTGCGTGGAGTAATCCGAGTTCTTGAGATGCTTGATAATTGGTAAGTAAATCTGTACAAAATCTACCCACCTTCCTTACCTCTGCAGTCTGCACTGCAATCCTGCCCTAGTATATCTTTCGGGTACATATTTGTGTTGTCATTATATGTGTGTAAGATTACAATTTCATTCATTGTCTTGACAGCGTTTGATATGTTATCGATCATCTTTTACATCAATGATTTTTACGTATGTCAGATTGATTGGCATACATGGTTAACATCGCTTAAAAAATGACGAAGATGATTTTTTCTGCAGTATTTATGTCTTCGAAGAAGATTAAAAGTAGCAATGTATTTAACTCCAAAAGGCTGTTGCTTTTCTTATCATCATTTCTTTGTACATTCAAGAGGACATGGACGAGAAAAACATGAAAAAATCACCCTCCACAATCTCTGAGAAAAATGCATAAACTCAAGTTCTGGTTAATGTCTTAAATTCTCAAATACTTGATGTGAAGAAAAATGTTGCATAAATGTTGCATAAATGAATCTCCTCCAAATTTATTCATAAGAATCCAGCAACACATTTTTATTTGTTCATAATTACCACTTTAATTTTATTTATTTATAATTATTTAATAAAAACTTATTTTTTATATTAATTATTATTTTGGTAACTTTTATATTTGATTTAATTTAATTTTTATTTTATTTTATTATTTATGTAGTGAAAACTAATTTTCTCTACTAACTTTTATAATTATTTAATTTTATTATTTTTAACTATTTATTAAAAACTAGCTTTTCATATTTATTTTTAATAATTTTGTAAATCTAATATTTTGTTGGGCGGCATACATTTTGTAAAATACATAACAAATGTATAATTATTTTAAGTGATAAAAATCAAATATTTTAAATATATAATTATGTACATTTTACTAAGTAGCAATTATGAATATAAAAATTAAATTTTTACTAAATAATTATAAGTTTTTACTAATTAATAGTTATAAATAATAATTAATATTGATAACAAAAATTAATATTTGTATTAATAAATAAATAATAATTAGTAAAATAAAAACAAATATAAAAAATACCAAAATAATAATTAATATAAAAATTAAATTTTTACGAAAATAATTATAAATAAATAAAATTAAATAAATACTAACAAATTATTATAATAAATATAATTAAAATAATAAATATTGTGGAGTGAACGGACAACTTTTAATATAGAAATATATATGTGTGTGATATATTGTGACAAGAGTTTCAACATAGGCTAGTGGTTAGTAAAATATCTAGCCAGTATCATAGAGCAGATTAAATAAATAAAAAATATTAAAAAAACTACAGTAAATATATGACTCAGCAAATAGATTCTGATTACGTTTGTATTTTAAATGAAACCATAAAATAAAAAGTGTTTTATTATGGAATTTATATTTATTAAGAGGTGATAAATTTATTTTTTTTAAAAGAAAGATAAATCAAATCATGTTATTATTATAAGAGTAGAAGATATTTAAATTTAAATTTAATTTATCTTTTAGTTGAAATTATGAAGTGGAGTGATAATCAAGGAGAGAAAAATATTTATATTTTATTTTTTAATTAAATAAAAAAGTTGTGATAGATTGTTCGAAAGATTACGTATTATATTCGTTTTTTTTGCCGAATTTACTTGTGCTCTATCGATCCTGTATTTCTTGTTGGTATCTTCATAACACAAATAAAAGTAAAAAAATAATAAAATAAAGACAATGATGTTCTTCATCCTTTTTTGCATTGACAAGTAAAACAAGTTATGGAACTCTAAGTATTAAGACACGACAAAAAAAATTACTTCCAGTTGGAAATCCACCTAATACTATGATAAATTTCGACCAATAATGATGATTAGTTATGAGAAAAACAAATAAAAGAAAACAAGACAATTATTTCTGCAGAGTTTCTCTCTGCCCATAAAATGTGGAAAACTTTCTTATTCACTTTGCAACTGCAAAATACTGTGAATGACTTACTTTCAAAATAGGGGTTACTCCCTCTATTTATAACTGAGCTTACACCCTAAGCCCAAAGCCCAAAATATCTTTTTGTTACTAAATCAAATCTAATTAAATCTATTCTAGACTTAAATCAAATCTATTTAAATCTAAAACAAATCAAATCTTCTTTGACACATATGAATTACAATTTAACACACCACCTAATTCATTGTGTCTAAACTGTCTATGTTCATCATGGCCCTTAGCTTTCTAAATACTTCGACTTGCACTCCCTTCGTCATGATGTCTGCAATCTAATTCTCAATCCTGCAGTGTTTCAAATTTATCTTCCCATCTGCTACCTGCTCTCGAAGATAATGGAATCTCATTTCGATGTGCTTACTTCGACCATGTGCTATTGGATTCTTCGCCAGATTAATAGCTAACATGCTGTCTATCTTCATGGTAATTGCTCCATGATCTTTCCCTGTTATCTCTTCGACTAAGCTCATCATCCAAGTTGCTTGACATGCACAAAGAGAAGCAGCTATGTATTCTGCTTCGCATGATGATAATGCCACTACTGGTTCTTTTCTCGAATTCCAAGCAATTGGTGCACCACCTAGCATAAACACATATCCTGCTGTTGACTTTCGATCTTCAGCATCACTACACCAACTCGAATCAGTGTATCCCACTAACTTGCATTCTTTTCCTTTATCAACTGCAGGAAACAAAATGCCATAATCGAAAGTTCCTTTGAGATACCTTAGTATCCTCTTCACTGCTACTAGATGTGATACCTTTGGCTTCTGCATGAATCTACTTACCATACCTACACTGTATGCTAAGTCAGGCCTTGTATGACAAAGATATCTTAATGATCCAATAAGTCTTCTGTATTGGGTTGGATCAACATCATCTTCATTTGCATCTTTCGACAGTTGCAGTCTTGGTTCTGCAGGTGTCGAAGTTAAGTTGTATTCTTCCATCTCAAACCTCTTGAGAATTTCTCCTGCATATCTTCTTTGATGCATCATCAAACCTCTACTGCTCTTGTAGAATTCGATACCAAGGAAATATGAAATCTCACCCAAATCAGACATTTCGAATTCCTTGCTGAGATCACCTTTGAAGTCTTCGATCTCACTCTTGCAGCTACCTGTTATCAACAAATCATCTACATAGAGACATAGTATAAGCAATTTACTCTTGCTTCTTCTTACATATACTCCATGTTCAGTTATGCACTTCACAAATTCCTTCTCCCTTAGAAAACTATCAATTTTCTTATTCCAAGCCCTTGGAGCTTGTTTCAATCCATACAGGGCTTTATGTAGCCTGTACACCTTTCTTTCTTCGTCATGTTTCATAAACCCAACTGGTTGTTTAACATAGACTTCTTCATCTAAGGGTCCATTTAGGAATGCACACTTTACGTCCATCTGACATGTGTGCCAACTGTTGATTTCTGCTAGACCAACAACCAACCTGATTGTTTCGATCCTAGCAACAGGTGCAAAAACTTCGTCGAAGTCTATTCCTTCTTTCTGTAGAAATCCTTTCGCCACAAGTCTTGCTTTGTGTCGAGTTACTTCACCTTTCGAATTCGTTTTCACTTTGTATACCCACTTGACATCAATTGCCTTCTTGCCTTGAGGCAATTCGACAAGTGACCAAGTGTTGTTGTCTTCGATAGACTTTACTTCTTCGTTCATTGCTTTCACCCACTTCGAATCCTTTAATGCTTCAGCTGCATTAACAGGTTCGACATCTGCATAGAAAGCATAATGTACCAGCTCACCTTCATTATCTATTACATCATCTGATGTAATCACACAATCTTGCAATCTTGCAGGCATGCGTCTTGTTCTTTGAGGTCTGCTTGTACTTGGTATATCTGCTGGTTCCTCTTGTCGAACTTTTCTTTTGACTTGAGTTTCTGGCTCTTCGAATAGGATTCCCACTGAATCTTTCTTGACATTTGCAGTCCAATCCCATTCTTTAAACTCATCTATGATCACGTCCCTGCTGATCACAATCTTCTTGTTCTCTGGATCGAACAACTTGTAGCCTCCTGTCGAATGATATCCAACTAGAATCATTTGACTTGACTTATCATCAAGTTTTCTTCTCAACTGATCTGGCACATGTCTATGTGCAATAGATCCAAATACCTTCAGATGGCTCAAGCTAGGCTTCACACCAGACCAACATTCTTCTGGAGTAATTCCTTCTAGCTTCTTTGTAGGACATCTGTTCAAAATGTATGTTGCAGTTGAAACAGCTTCACCCCAAAACTCTTTAGGTAAACTCTTGCCTTTCAACATACTTCTCACCATATTCATGATGGTTCGATTTTTCCTTTCTGCAATTCCATTTTGCTGTGGAGTATAGGGTGGCACCACCTCATGCACAATCCCTTCCTTTTCACATAATCTGTCGAAGTCTTTCGACACATATTCTCCTCCACCATCAGTTCTCAAAACTTTGAGCTTTCGACCACTTTGTCTTTCGACCATAGACTTAAATCTGGTAAATACTTCGATCACTTCACTTTTCTTCTTGATCAGGTAAGTCCATAACTTTCTACTGAAATCATCTATGAATGTAACAAAGTATTTGTTACCTCCCATCGAATCCACCTGGATTGGTCCACATACATCAA